GGGGTAGGGGGACAGATCTAGTTTGAGATCAAGCTTGTTGTAGACAAAACATTTTTAAGTTCCCTTTGCCTTTTCTCTATTCTGAGAAAGTTATTAAGTAACATGTTTGTTTTTAGTTTAAATAGGCATCTTATTTGAAAGTTTCTTTTAAATATGTGTCACATTGGAAATTAACTTATGTTCTATTTGTTTCATAGTGTTTATGCTTTCAATTTTTACACCTCAGAACGACCGATGACCTTTGCTGGTAAAAGCTATGCCAAGTGGAAGCTGCAACATTCCACCAAGAAGAGGTACTCCCTGAGGTTCCGGATTCGCACCAGGCAAAGCTCAGCCACTCTAATGTACGCCACGGGGAAAGTGGACTACAGCATTCTCAAGGTAAACTTTGTTGGCGGTTTTGTTTGATTTTTGTTGGAGTTTTTTTTTTTTTAATTCTTTTTTGTTGTTGTTTTTGGTAATAGTATCCCTTAAGCTGAACTGCACCCCCACCTCCTCCTCCAGCCAGTTTGAAGTGGAAGGCTATGCTTAAATTTCACCGAGTTTTACTGTATTTTGAGTATGAAATTTGTGTTGTTTTAGTTTCTGGAGATTTTTTAGGTAGACTTTTCCTGTTGCACATTAATGGTATTCTCAAGGATAATTTTTTGGATATAGTTTGTCTATTTGAATTTTGTTGATGTGAGAGTGAACCTTATTTATTCTTAACAATTATATGTGCTTTCCATTTTTGGGGTACATATGTTTAAGTTTATTTCTCTTCCTCACATGTAGAAAAGATCAAAACAACTTCTGTTAAACTTGTAAGAAATATTGTGGTGAAACTGGTAGTTGCTGTGTACTTTTCTGTGAAATCATTTTATGCATATAACAGTTATCGTTTTGTGCTGTGGACAAAACATGTATCATGGAAGGAATTTGAATTTTATTCTTTGTGTGTTTAACAGATTGACCGAGGAAGCTTAGTTTACAAGTTTGACTGTGGCAGTGGAGAGGGTCAGGTTCGAATCCCGGTAGACCTGAGTGATGGTCAGTGGCACATAATTGAGCTGGACAGGAACGGCCGGGAGGCGGAACTAGCCGTAGACTCGGACTACACTGCCCTGGGTGTCGCTCCTGGCATTCATGCTATTCTTAATGTGGACACAGAGGAGGTCTATTTCGGTGCTGAAGTAGATGTGTTCCCTAATGGCTACAGAGATATTAAACATGGCTTCGAGGTGAGCACATTTCTAGTTTAGGAAGTCAGTCATCATTGAATAGGAGCATGTTTATGTTTCGAAAGACAATGAGAAAGTTAAGATGGAGTGTTTGAGAAGTAAGTCTGGAAATGTCATTTGAAAAGTTGACATCATGGTAATCCTCTTCTAAATACTTTCCCGAAAAAGTGCCTTAGATATTTGACAGGGTTTTACATACCAGTAACTTTCCTCCTACTAGCGTCTCCAGAGGGATGAATGTGTTTGAAACAGGGTTATTTCAAGATGTATGCAAAAGTTATTAAATGAATGGTGCTTTGCTAGAATGCTGTTATAATGGGTGATTGGAGGGAACCTCTGGTAGGTCCTACTTTTTTTCCCAGCTGTTACTTCCATCTGTCTGTTTTGCTCTTTCCCAGCACTAAATTACCATAACTGTGTCAGTATTCTTCTTTTTACTCAAAAAATGAAAGATATGTTTTTATTTTGATTTTTTTTTGTGTGTGTATGTTCCCAGGGTTGCATGGAAGACATCAGAATCTTCAACATCCCGTTGCCTTTCAGCGGCAGCAATGAAGTGGCTCAGGCTCTGGAGTTTGAACTTGTGGAGTTTCACTGTCAGGATTACCCAGCCAAATATTTGCCCGGTGGTAGTAAGTGTTTTGTCATGAGTGGGAGACTGGCTGTACTATATTGTGTTTTTCACACCAAGATATTGGAATTGTTTAGCTGTTGACTGTCTGTGAGTTCATGTAAAAGAAAGTCATTCACCACTGTGGTATCATATCATAAAGAGTTTGAACTTTATGGTTGTTTAAGCTTTTTTATATTTGTGTGTGTGTGTGTATATGTGTGTGTGTGTGTGTGTGTGTGTGTGTGTGTGTGTGTGTGTGTGTGTGAGAGAGAGAGAGAGAGAGAGAGTATGTGTTGGGGGGGGGAGGTGATTAATTGATGAATTTTCATTTATTTTTGTCCATGTTAGAGAGCCTGGTGTGAAAGACCACTACATTGCTTCATAATATTGACATTTTTTTATCTTCTTAGATGCATGCAGTAGTAACCCCTGCCTCAATGGAGGCCAGTGCAAGTTCTCCGGCCTCAACTCTTACGTCTGTATCTGTCGGGGAAGATTCCGCGGTGCCAAGTGTGAGCGGGACCCTGATCCTTGCTCTGACAAGCCTTGCACGAACGGAGGTAAGGGATATGGGCTTTGTGTTTGAGTTATGTTACTTCATGGTTGGATGTTTGAGCTGTGTTGTTGTACACGTGCATCCTTTGAAATAGGATAAAGGGGAGATCAGAGAATGGTTTGTTGTATGCTTCAGTGCCTAGTTTAGATAAAAGGGGTGAAAGTGATACATTTCGCATTTGACTCATTTCTCTTGCAACAGCAGTGTAATAATGATTCTTTTCGGAATGTCACTCAGTAACAGACGTGACCATTCCTTTATACATGTTAAGGTTAACTTTTTACATAAAATTGCATTTATAAGGATATCCCAGACTGTTTCCACAACTTTTTTTTTCTGACCAAGACATGACTGAAGTTTATCAGGTGTTCTTTTAATTTATGTTGTAAAATAGAAGACAGAAGGGGCAAAGATAGACCAGGAACCACATACATAGAAAACTTGAAGAGATGGATATAATGGTTGGGGTTGGGGGGAGGATTGTTTTGTTTGTTTGTTTGTTTTTTTGGTTTGAGAACATTTTAGGGGAGAAATAAATACCATGATTGGCAATGTCTGTATCCGATCTGATACTTGATGAAGGTGAGGTAAAAGTGTCGGAGAGACATACCTTGTATATATCATACTTGTAATCTTTAATTCTACAGGGCGTTGTGAAGTGGACCTGGAGGTTCCCAACAGCTATCAGTGTCACTGTAAGGATGATTTGACCGGCGTCCGATGTTCTTACGGCAAGTTCTGTCGACCGAACCCATGCCATCAGGGCGGGATCTGTGTGGAGGGACCCACCGCACCGCTCTGTGACTGTAAACCTGGATACCAAGGTGAGAGCACTGGGCGGGGGAAAGGAGCAAATGGTGTTTCTCTTACTCTTTTGTAGAATTGTTCTATTTTTGTTTGGGTTTTTTGTTGCTGTTTTTTGTTTGTCTGGGTTTTTCTTTGTTTGTGGTTGGGTTGGGGGGGGGGGGGATAGAGAGTGTGTGAATGTGTCAGTTTTTTGCCAACTTGGAAAAATAAAATTTCCGTTAATTTCTCCCATTCTCCAATGCTCCTCATTTTGTACACTTCTTTGGGGAGGGCATAAATGTCGTGCATTCTCAGTGTCATGCTTGGGTAAATAGGGTTAAAACCAACATCGAAACTCCAAGTGCAGGTTGTTAGGGAACTAGTGTTAGTCCTACCCAACATACGAAGCACAATACTCAAATTTTTATTTTATAGGATTTTGTCCAAACTGTAGCGGCATGGGTAGTTAGAGGGCACCACTGCTAGGTACCTCTTCTTTTCTTTCTCTCTGTGGTGTCTGTCTATCTTTCTTGCTTCTTCCCTGCACTATATGACTGTATTTTGTCAGCGTGCTTCTCTTTACTCAAACAAACAAACAAACAAACTGCAACCACCCCATTGCTTCTCTTTCCCATGACAGGCTTGTACTGTGACAGAATGTCTGACGCCTGCGACTCGGCACCGTGCCAAAATGGCGCCACGTGTCACAACGTGCTAGGTGGAAGCTACTCCTGCAACTGTACGGCCGACTACTACGGCAAGAACTGCGAGCAGCTGCTGGCTGAGATGGGAGCGACGATAACCTCCTCTCCAACCTTCACTTACGGAATCATAGGTCAGTTGCACATTGTTATTAGTGGTCAAAGGTCAGTTGTTAATAATCATAGGTCATAGGTCGATCAACCATGTATTTCAAATTCGGGGGTTCAGTTATTTAACTCTTTTTGTGCCAATCCACAAACTATGGTCAAGATGGTATATCTCCCAGCAGTAAAACAAAATCTTTTTTTCTTTGTATAAACTCGTTTAATGTTTGGGGTTTTTTCCCAACACCATCTTCTTTTACTTATTTCTTTAGTCTTCATTTCAACTGCTCAGTGTAGGACTCCATCATACATCACTTTTTAAAATGGCGTACGGCGATGTTTTACACCACTTTCAACATGTCACCTTTACGACACACTGGTGTGGAAGAATTCCTCTGACATTCAAAATTTAGAGATCAGTTTTTCTACTTTTTGGAGTATCAAGTTTTCGTTATACTATGTAGACTATTTTAACATGAAGCATTGGTGGTTGGAGGGTGTCACTAATAGGTCCTACTACTTTCCTCTTCCTTTGTTGTTCCTGTCATTCTTAGTTTATTTGTTATCTTGTCAAAGAGACCTAGAGTTTTTCTTATACTTCCTGAACTAATAATGGTCCACTTAGTGCATAAAAATGCTAGCAAACTATATTTGCTTTTTAAGTGGATGAATATTTTATAAAACTTTATTTCATTTTTCAACCCTCCCAGGAGCCGTAGCAGGAATTGTCGTGTTGGCTGTCCTAGTGATTCTGATCCTGCTACTTTTGAGGCGGAGGCGGAGGGAGAGGCGAAGACGACGGTCACCATCTGGGGGAGACACAGGGAGCGAAGTGCTCCTTAGTGGGAAAGAGAAACGGTGAGTGGGGGATAGTGGAGGTGAGGGTATGGGTGGATGGGAAGGGAGGGGGTGGAGGGGTTCCATTCCTACAGTAAGAAGAAAGATCTATTTACATTCTTTGGGGGTGAGTGGATTGGAAGGGAAAGTCTATTCCTGCATTAATAAGAGGACAGGTATATACCTATCGAGTCTTACTATTCATCTGACTGCTTTTTGTACATTTTTACTTTTTTTCCCCTAGATCATTGCATACCTAGCGGGTTGATAGAGGGTTCCACTAGTAGGTCTTATTTCTTTTCTTTCCCACAGCAGTTTCTTGTCTGTTTTGCTTTTTCCCAGCCCTAAATGACAGTTATAACTATTGATGTGCTTCGCTTTACTCCAACTCAATTGTATACACTTTTAAAAAATGTGAAATTCTTCGATTAATGGCCAGTTCATATAGACTTTACATAATTTTGTCATGCTTCAGTACGGCTTTCTTCTTCCTCTGCTTAATCCTGAATGATTATTTGCATTCTGACTACGGATTAGAGGAGGAGGATGATTAGGATCTCTAGACCCTACTTCTTTAGCCTGTCTCTGTCTCTCTTCCTGTTTTGCTCTTCTTCAACCCTATATGGCCATTATTATATCATGGTGTGCTTCTCTTTAACCCAAATGAAAACACTACTGATTAAAATTGTTAACTTAATTGCCAACTATTCCAGCCTGAGCAACCCAGACCTGACAGAGCCAGTCCAGGCACTCCCGTCGCAGCCTCCTCCAGTGCCCACGCGGCCAGCCTCCTACACACCCAGTACGCACGACTCGCTGAACACACTCAACAATCTGGACAGCGTCAGGAACTACGGGAGTGCAGCTGATGAGCTGGAGAGTACTGGAGGCACAGGTAAATGACACGTTATTCCATTGTTTGTTTTACATGACGTGTATAAGTGGATGGTTCGAGGATGCCTTTGGTAGATCCTACTTTATTTTATATCTGTTGTTTCTGTCTGGCAATCTTCCTTTTCCCCAGTACTAAACAACTGTCATGTCATGTTATTGTAAATAACAACATGTCTTGCCTTCCTGGGTTTTTGTGCAAATCTATAAAAGGGTAGTTGGAGGACATCACTGGTATACCGTACTTTTCCATCCCTCTTGTTTCTGTCTGTCAAACATGCTCTTTCTCTACACCAGAGATGTGCTTCTCTTTACAAAAAAAACAACAGATGTGTGGAAAGGAATCAGGAGCAACAATTGTAGTAATCTGAAGCTTATCTGAAGGCCTGTGGGACTCATATTTTAGATATTCTGCTTGACTTTTTGGGCTTTCTACTTGCTTTTTTAAATGTTTGTTAAACTGAAGTATTGAAGACAGAAATTAAACTACTGATACAGTACAGTGCAATGGGATGTTGTAGTGACCTTCTGAATCAGTGTACTGATTATGTTTTAAAGTACGGGGCTGTGGCTAAAGTACAGGTGATTGGAAGGCTTTTCGGGTAGGTCCTCTCTTGATTTGTTTGCCTCTGTTGTTTCTGTCTATCTAGTTTGTTTTTTCCCTCTTTTGTCCCTGCACTAAATTGCCATTATCATTAGGATTTTTTTCTTTTTACTCAAACAGTCCTAATTTCCTTATAATGAAATACCTTACCATACTCTAAATACAGTTTTCTCTTACTCTATGTTTGGTTTTTCCCTACAGGCATAAGAGGACACCTGCCAGACTTCCCTCAATACCTGGAGTCTTACAGTAACCCAGCCCACACAAACCACATCCACCCGATGCTACGTGCCACGCCCCCACCTCCAGCGTCCCGCGCTGCCTCCGAGACAGACTCCATCCAAAAAGCACCATGGGAGTTTGAGTATCCTAACATCTTGGAGAATTACATGGAAGGTTTGTACTGGATGTGTTGTTGGGTTTTGTTTGGGTTGGGTTTTTTTTTTTTGCATTTTATTTTATGTTTCTAATTGGCTGGTTCTATTGAAACCAGTGAACTTGTAGTCATATTTCAAAATGAAATTCGTATACATTTTTAACTTCTTATTCTACATAATAAATCCCTTATCCTTTCCTCTCTTTAATTTTTTGGTGCGCAGGTAGTTAATGAGCACCACTGATAGATGTCCTATTTCTTTCCCTCTATTATTTCTGTCTGCCTGTTTTACTTTTTTACCTGCACCAAATGACTGTTAATATGCTAATATAATGCTTCTCTTTACTCAAACATTTTTTGCTTCATTGTCAATGAAATTATCCCAGCTCTTAAATCTTTTCACTTTCTTCTTTTTTAGAATTGTGTACTCTTCTCATTTGAAAGGAAGCTTACTTTGTTGAAAAGAGATTTAAACCTGTTCCTAATCTCACTCCTGTCATGATCGTGTCTCACCCCTCAGGAGACAAGAAACAACACGACAAGATGATGGCCAAGCGAATGCCAGGCGTCCACTCCCCCCAGCCCTCTCCACAAGCCAGTCACGGGCGTCCAGGTGCTCTGGGAGGGGCAGACACAAGTTCTGTTAGCAGCCTGCCTGTGTCGGAGTCCGAGGACGACCTCAATGGTAAGTTCCAGATCTTTTGGGACTTTTGTTGTGATGTAACATTTGCTTTAGAATTCTTTCTGCCTCTAGTGGTAGGTTTCTTTTGTGGCTGATCCAATTGCTTTCCCCTGGCATACTGTAGGAAAGAATATTTTGGTCGTATTAATGATGAGGCAGTTTTTCAGCAGACTTGTATCATATTTTCAAATTCTTTCTCCGACTCATCCATAGATTAGATGCAAGTTTATTCAGGTTCTCAGAGTCAGAATTGACATTGTGAATGCTGAATTATATAAAACAACATTTCATTAAAAGTGTTGATTATTTTTATTGTCAACAAAATGTCCAGTGTTATGTCATCAGGCATAAATGATCAGCCAATTAAAAAAAACCCAGCGATTTACATTCATTGCATCGTCTGACATTGATTTAGCTCCCTACACCTTTTGTAGCATGATCATACACGAAGGTCAAAGTACACTGATATGTCATGTCATGTTATCTCTTGATGATCTTATTTCTTCTAGACTTAAATTTCCTACTACTGTTAACCCATTGCACAATTGTAATTGATACTTAACTCTTCTAGTCCTTTGGAGAACTTTGGGTTGCAGTAGTGTAGATTCTTTCCTCCTGTACTAACTCACTAGAGTCGGTTTGTGAAGTGATCATGCCCAGAGTGCTACCCGCCTCTGACATCCAGCCCCCAGCGTTTGCCTTAGCAGTGTTCTAGATACTTTGGTCTTGTGTTGTGAAAATACGCCTTTTTATTTTGCTGTGAAATTCTCAGCGGTTTGTCTCAAGTTCTAGTCTCAATGCTGACAAAGAATTTACAATTTTTAAAATGTATAAACACCCCAGTTAAGTAAATGGAATCATGACTCTTGATATTTCAAATTTGAAATTCCGGAATGCAGGTTCATTTATGTGCAATGCAGTTCTTGCTAGAGGTTTTTATTTATGAATAAATAATAATAACCTCTTTTGATACTAGAAAAAAATTGTACACAACAAATCATATGCAATTGGCAGAGCTATTTACTACTTCCTCATAGTACAATTCTCTGGTCTTCTGGGTGTGTTTTTCTTCTTGCGCCATGACCTGTTACTCTCTTTTCAGGAGAAATATCAGAGCAATAAATATTTGTTGGGGTATGGTGGACGGGGTTTCTTATAACAGCTCGATACTTGGATATTACGTATCGGATGTAGTTGTTTTTGTATGATGCTGTCTCAATGTCAAAAAGAATCAAATTCTTCTTTTTCTGTAAGAAGAATCCCCTTACAACTGCACTGAAAGCAATAAGGCAATTTTTAAAAAAATATTTTGTTTCATTTTTATTTGGAGGGGATGGGGGGCAAAGCCTGGCGGCAGTATGGTTTTATGCTTTCATGAGAGATTTTGATCACAATTTAATTAAAATATTGTAAAAATAAAAGTGAAGGAAAAATACCATCTGTAAAATTAAGCAGGGCAGAGGGTGCTAATAAATATGTTCACAACAAGGTGTTGGAATTACCGAAATCGAGTCATTTAAAGTTGTATTTTAGTTTAAATTTTGCTTTTTCAGCTATAGCGCGTGAACTTCTGACTGAGATCATTTTGTGGCTGCTGTTATTTGGTTATATCACCCCTTTTGCATGCCATAATTATGTGACAGTAGTTCAATGCAGTTGATAGATTAACTTTTCCAAGCAGATTAGAACTGAAAGCTATGGGGGGGGGGGGGGGTTGTTATTTTGGGGTGGTTGTTGGGTAAGGGTGGGTGAGTTGTTTTTGGTTGTTGTTGTTTGTTTGTTTGTTTGTTGTTTTTTGTTGTTTTTTTAGGGGGAGGGGGAAACTTATTTTTTTGTTTTGGTACAGTGTTTTACGGCGCTCGCAACTGCATAAGGTCATATGAGCGCGCGGGAAACACCTAGTATTTTCAGTTGGTAGAGAATTTTTAATTTTGCCCGGGTGGCGGCCGAAGCCTACTCTTATCGATTTTAGACCACCAAGGGATCTTTAACGTGCGCAACTAGCACACGGGCCCTCCGAGATTTTTTTCGCCCTTGCCCGAGAAGGCTAGGTGTAGATCTTTCCTACCAGAAGTTCAGGGGTGTGGCTGAAAGACAGCAGTAAGAAGAAGCGAAGGAGTAGCAGTAGAAAGGCTGCAGAAAGAATCAGGAGCCCAAAGGATGGGGCAAAGGAGGTGTGGGGGTGGGGGCAGACGGAGGAGACGAAAGCGGACGACAGAACATTGCTAGAGAGCAGGAAATGAGGTGAAAGGAGACAAATTTAGAGAAGAAAATTTTTTCGGTCGCTACCCGGATTCGAACCCGGGACCTTTTGAGTGAGAGGCCAACACCTTAACCTCTAGGCCACGAGAGCCCCAGGGGGAAACTTACATTTCGACAAAACGACACTTATTTACAATGAATGGACAAGCAACGTTGTTTAGGGTTTTCATCTAGGCTTTTCGCTATTTTGTTGTCACGTTTCTGATTTCCAGAAGACGACTTCATCCTAGAATCTGCTAATGGAGCCTATGTGTGTTAGTCCTGTTTTGTTGTTATTGTTGTTGACGATGATGCTGTTTTTTGTTTGGGGGGGGGGGTAATTTTGAGAAAACTTCATTTATTACTTCATTCCCTGTGTCTAACCTTGCCATATTCTTCACCAAACATTGCAGCAAAGCCTGGAAAGAGGAAAGGTAGAGATCAGTTTGACATCATGTGGCATGCCCATTCACACAGACCCCCCCTTCCTCGTTCTCTCTAGATATTTGCATCATTAATGTCGTCATGTCCATTATTACTATGCCTCATATTTCTATGTATCAACTTCGTTTTTATTTATCACTTACTCTGGATTTCGTTCCGTTTTTATGTTTGTGTCTACTTATACGCCTTGTTCTGTTGGCTCTGCAATGCGTCATTGTTGCTATAGATGTGTCGAACACTTACACGGATCAGCGCAAGATCGTGCTATATATATATACATATCATATTGTAAGCCGTTATACTTGCATACTGACAAAAGCTTACGCTCAGACTCTAAGCGCTCCAGTTCGAATCGAAAAAAAAGCCCCAGGAAACTCGTAATGTTTCATATGATTTTGATTAAAATTAATCCTTGTTTCCCCCTTTTTATCCTAATTGGAATGTAAGAAAATATTATGTGGAAGGGGTTTCCATATGGAAGATCCAAGATTTTAAAAAGACTTTAACATAAAATTGTTACAGATAATATAAATGAAGCTACGGGTAGGCCTATACTTAATTTTGGGAACTTACAAATCAGCAGAAAGAAAAAAACGACAACAAAGACTTGCCTAATGTTAATGCAGATGAAAAAGTAAGCCTGTGTTCTCAGAATATAAATATTTTATAAGCATTGAGCTTAATACCACGTGCCAGATTTGAGCTACTGTATACATTTGATGACAGAAGAATCTGTACTGAAACCACTTCGTTTTCTTCTCTAGTTGAGGATCGGAAGTGGTGGGTAGCAAGCATCTATTTAGAAATCGAACTTTCACTCAAATACTGATTCGCTCTTTCTCTCAAACACTAATCGTTCTTCTCTTTTTTTTAAATTTCCCCATGAGTATCTCTCTCTCTCTCTTTCTCTCTTTCTCTCTCTCTCTCTCTCTCTCTCTCTCTCTCTCTCTCTCTCTCTCTCTCTCCCGCCCTTTCACTCCCTTCCTCCCTTCTTATTATCTTATTTTCCTGTTATTTCTCTGTTTTTCTGTGCCTGAAAGTGTCCTGTTCTGGCAGAATGCGGCCACTAAAGGCCAATTTTCTTCTGTTTTTACCAGACCAAGATTCAGAAGGAAATGATCGCGATCTCTGATTCTGTCGCTTTCGTAGCCTCGTTTTAAATATGCATCTGTATGTGAGTAGATCAAGCCTTTTATTTCCTAAGACTTGCGAATGGCGTGCTTCGTGGAAAAACAAACCTTCGGATGTTTATTTTTGTTTTGTTTTGTTTTCTGTATTTTTGTTAGCGAATCGTGTTCAGCCTTGAAGCTCTGGCTAACCGCATGCTCTGGAAATTGTACTATTATTTTTACTTTGAGAATCCTTTTACTATTTTTGTCTGAAATGATGGAGTGCTCGCAAACAACTGATGTTATTGTATTCTTATGTAGGTCTATACCACAGGCTCAGACACTCAAATTGACAGGTGCCTGTGTGTCTGTCTGTCTCTTGGTTCTTCGGTTTGTCGGTTTGTCTGTCTGTCTGTATGTCTACTCATAGGTGCCGATTTTCGGGATAAATCAGGAAATCCCGATTTCTGACATTGTCCGGATTATGCCTGGTTTCAAACTTGTTTAGAAAATAGTCTTGATGCAAGTTGTAGTGGATAATCCGATTCGTAAATTATAAGTCAACCGCATGCGAACCCACAGGGTAGGAAAAGTTCAGGATTTTATTTTCGTAACCATTTGGCACTTCTGTCTACTGTAAAAGTTGATGTTAATAAACAAGATCATAGTTCCTTCATATATCTCCTTTGTACTCGTTCCTGAGAAAGAAAAGGAACCACTATCTCCATAATATAATAATATTATAAGTCATGGGTATCTATGTGCTGAAAATACAATAGATAAGCCAGTAATAATGATGCTACAGCAACAGCCTTCGTGCCGCTGGCTTGTACATTGGCGCTTTTTGTCCCGCACTTTTCGCATAAGTGTCTCAGCCAGCTTGTTGCATTATTGACATACATACTTTTACTGGCCAAAGTGTGGCTACTTCATTTATTTTCTCATGTGAAATTGTGTGCGGGGAAAAAAGCAACACAACTGACATCGTCTTAGGTGGTGTAGCTGTTAGGCGCGTCGTTATTGTTCACAGAGAACCCGAGCTCTTTACCCGAGAGTGGAGAATTTTTTATCCTGTGTCCCTGACATCAGTCTACTGGGTCGTTGTATCCATTTGGGCCCCAGCTGGCCTTGACAGGAAGGATAGAAGCAGCTTGCGTCCAATATGATTTAAATTGTTTCAGCTGGGGAGTAAAACAATTATAGAGTTACGATAACTCGTCAAGAGTGAACTGTAATGATATTAATAATAGCCCTTCTGTTCCCGGAACTGCGTGGTTCTGTCTGTCTGTCTGTCTGTGGGTCTGTCTGTCTGTCTGTCTGTCTGTCTGTCTGTCTGTGGGTCGGTCGGTCGGTTGGTTGGTCGATCGGTCGGTTGGTCTCTCTGTCTCTCTCTGTCTGTCTTGGTTTTTCTCCAGCCTTAAACGACCATTATTGTATCAATATGCTTCTCTTTACTCAAATAAAACCCGTACTAATTGCATCTACTTCTCAGTATCTCTGCTCTCTCCCAGCCAGCTTTGCATGATCCAACTATTCTTGTGTATCGCGTTTCTGTCCACAGTTCCGTCTCTTCCAACCCTGCTGCATTATTCCGTATGACCAAAATCAGACACTAATTGTTTTGCAAATGCCGTAATTTCTTGATACAACATGTGTGAGATTTGTAAATTCCGAGTTTCCGCGGTAGCCTTTCCACAGGGTCCAGAAAGTTCAGAGATCTTCTTTTTTCTTTTTCTTTTTTTTTTTAATAGCTAGTTGGCACCTCTGAGTGAAAGGGTTATAATAATATTTTATAACGTGAGGGAATATTTTCGCTGTTTCACTTAACGGGCGGATTGACTTGTTTGTTTGGGGTTTTTTTTTAACCTGATGAAAGGGTATTTGTTTTGTTTTCTTATTAATTTTTACTTTTTTGTTGTTGTTTTTGTTGTAGGCTATTTTGTGTCGTTTTCTAGAAGATTTAGTTTTTGGATAATTATCCAAATTGTTTTGGAACGGACACGGACGAGCGTCTCTCTCTCTCTCTCTCTCTCTCTCTCTCTCTCTCTCTCTCTCTCTCTCTCTCTCTCTCTCTCTCTCTCTCTCTGTCTCTGTCTCTCTCTCGCTGGTGCGAGCTTGCACACACACACACACACACACACACACACACACACACACACACACACACACAAGCACACACACACACACCAAACACACACACACACATACACACACACACACACACACACACTCACTCACCTCGGGGTTATATCCGTAGGCCTATATATCTGGTGTCGGTAAATGTTAATAGATCTCTTTGTTTAAGGTTCTCCTTATATTTTCTTTCTGTGGTCGGCACCGACACCATCACTTTGTGAATCCTGTATTGCACATTTGCAGGTATTTGGAGGTTGCCACTCGTAGGCTTTACTTGTTTTCTTTCTTTCTTATGTGTTTGTTTTTCTTTATACATTATCTTATATTTTCACCCTGCATTGTGTTTCTGTGTCGACATGTTTCTTTTGACAACAACAACAAAATTTTTAAAAACCTACACAGGTATTGCACATCGTTCATTGTCTATAGTTCGTGGCGCAACTTATTGTCAAATATCTCATCAACTACCGAATATAAACTCCCCAGCTTTTCCACAGGGACTATAAGTATCAATTTATCTTAACAGATCAATATTTTTTGTACGCACCTGTTAGCTTTATTCTTGAAAATTCCCTAATAAATAATTTTAAAACAATCCTAGTGGGTGGTTTCTACTGATCCTAAAAGGTTTACAGCTGGGACGATACCGCTTTTAAAAGTAAGTCGGTCATTATTATTTTTTTTCAAATCGCCACATTATCTTTATTGAACCCTTGTTTTGAGAATTTTTAGTGCAAAAAGGTGTTCCTAATAAAATTAGTTTCTTGTAACTAGTTTTGCCTCTAAAAGTGACATTGGTGAGCTGTGACGTAGGCCATATGCGTATACAAAATGTGTTTGATAAGCGGAAAGTGCTTGGAACAATCTTATTTTCCACGTGAAGGAGGTTTGTAGTATTTTATATAAATTTATGAAGGAAAGTTTTTTAATCAAGCCTCAATTGTTGTGGAAAAATACGATTAAGTTAATACAAATTGAAATAAACTGATGTGCAAAGTATGGGTGGCTTTGATTCTCCCGTTTTAAAGATATTTGAGGATAAGTTGCGCCAGGAATTTTTGACCGCGCTATACATACCTGCAGCGGTAAGCGGTGTTTTCTTAGAATGCAAGTTTAACGTTTTTGTGCGCACAGTCATGATGGGTACGTGCGCAATGTTATTTTTATTAATATTTGCGCACTGTATACCCTCCCCCCCAAAAAAAAAAACCCACACACACACAAAAAACACCCCTCTTTTTGCAATACATGAATTTTAGAAGTACATGCACCCTAATGTTGTGTTTTGTTCAAATTATACACAGGCTATAATGCCTCGGGTTTAACTCTTCGATTTTGGATAATGCACTTTTCTTCTTGCACGTACAGACGTGGCGTCATTCATAGCCCTTTCTCCCCCGTTCGCACTTTTTGGCTCTTGTGGTTTTCGGGAATGTTTGATAACATTGGAGTGGAAACATAAGACGCATAAAAAATTTTGCCACCACTTTCCCCCCCCCCTCTCTCTCTCTCTCTCTCTCTCTCTCTCTCTCTCTCTCTCTCTCTCTCTCTCTCTCTCTCTCTCTCTCTCTTTCTCTCTCTCTCTCATTCCCTCTCTCTCTCTCTCTCTCTCTCACACACACACACACACACACACACACACACACACACGTTCAAACAATAATACACTAGTGGAGACAGAAATATGCACAATAATTATTTCATTCCTTTTAATTTCAATTTTGTTTTTATCGGTTTTATTTCAGCTTCAGGTGTAGATATAAGTAAGGAAACAAAAACTTTTTTCTCTGACAAAATATAGCGGCACTTTAAGTCGTAATACAATGCTTCCTCCCACCCTTTTATTCTTTTTTTTTCTTCTTGTGGGTTGTTGGTAGTATCTGGGATTCTTCTCAAAGGATTGGTATCTCTTTTCTTTCTTTTTTCACGCTCAGTCAATCCATGTATTTGGCTACAGAGCTGCCACCTGTTAATCCTTCAGTTGAGGGCGAAGGTGTTGTTGTTACTCTTTTCTTTTGTTCTCTTTTGTTCCTCCATATTATCTTGGCCCTAGATGTTTACCAATTTTCTTTGATTAAAATCATCAGTACATGATCGGGCGGTAAATCATATTATAATATAGCCGTATCAATGCACATATCATAGAGACTATGACTAGCTCTTGCTACGATGCTTTTTATGGAGCGAAAAATAGTTTGTTGCAAGCTGACTGTATTATGATACGAGACCAGTAGTTGTGAAAAGAAATACCTTATGCACATTGTAATGTATTTATTGCTTGGGTGTTCCTATTGTATTCAAGATGTAGATCTGTGTTCTTTCAGCTTCTTCTCTCTTCTTCTATTCCATTGTTATGTCTATCAACTTATTATGCTTTTCCTGAAATGGTATGCCCCTCTTCGTCTGTCTGTCTGTCCACCAGGTCTGCCTGACTGTCTTTCCTTTTTTCAATCTGTCTTTCAGGCTGTCTGTTTGTGTGTCTTTTTGTCTGTCCCGTTTCATCATCTTTCTAAATGTCAATTCTGTTTATTTAGCTTCACTGTACTTCGTTTGTCCCGTTAATAAATATAAAGTATCCGTCTCTTTGCGTGAATGAAAGAGCTTCAAGAATTACCCCCTTGCATGCTATTTAAGAGTAATACCTCGTATCTGTCTCCATGGTTCAATTTAAAAAAAGAGAACATATTGTTCTACTAAATAAGCACAAACTATTACGTTTCGGTATATGATGCTTAGTTCATATTACACGTAATTTTAAAAACTTTTCCATGGCCTTTTCTTTAGCTTACCAATGATATCATGTTTGCGGAACCATGGGCATAGACTTTTACTTATAAGTTATGTGCATCTTGTAATTCAAACATATTATAATAACACATTGATTATTATTATGTGTGTCTCTATCAGCTTTTTGTGATTGCTCCCAGCTATGTGTTCGCCCGTAACAGCTCTGGACTCTAATTTAAGAATTGTTATTTTATTTACGTATTTTTTATGTAGTACATTTTCAAGGTAGCTTTTCTCAGTCTCCACCCC